ATGATCTCAGGGTCCTGGGATCGAGTCCTGCATCAGGCTCCCTGCTCAGTGGGAAGTCTGCTTCTCCCTCTCCCTCTGCTGCTCTCTCTCTCTCTCTCTGTGTCAAATAAATAAATAAAATCTTAAAAAAAAAAAAAAAGATGGTGAGTGATTTTATAAAGCAGAATACATACACCACAGAATTGTTGAGAGGATTAAATGAGGTAGGTATATAAAAAGCTCCTTAGTAGTTCCTCTATAATATAAACTATTATTATCACATAGAGGAAGACTGATCTGTGGTGACCCCACTAAGGTACAACTATCCTGTCAGGCAATCTCTAACTGCTAGTCAATCTGTCTCTTTGCACCTTTCTCTTTAAATACAATATCGAGCACAGATGAAGCAGGAAGCTAGTTTTTAGGAAGTTCAGATATTCCTCCTAGGATCTAACCACTGAGTGCATTTGAGTTAATTTTTTTTTTTAAAGATTGTATTTATTTATTTGACAGAAAGACAGCGAGAGAGGGAACACAAGCAGGGGGAGTGGGAGAGGGAGAAGCAGGCTTCCCGCGGAGCAGAGAGCCCAATGCGGGGCTCAATCCCAGGACCCTGGGATCATGACCTGAGCCAAAGGCAAACACTTAACCAACTGAGCTACCCAGGCACCCCTTGAGTTAATTTTCTATCTGAACATCTCCTTCCCTAAGTTGGAGAAAGGTAGGCTATTCTTCAATGGCCAAATATATCCAAGTATCTTTCATAAGACATGAGCCCTGAGACAAACGAAAATGCCTCAGTCTGCGGGGTCTGCCTGTGCAGGGAAGGAATGAGGGTCCAGGAGTGGGGAGCGCTGAACAAGTTGTTAAGAAAAAAAGCCAGTGCTGGTGGAACAATCCAGAGGAGTGTCAGCTCAGAAAGTGATGGGGGAACAGGCCAGAGTGAAATCCAGTGTTCCAGTATTCTTCGTAGACCCAAATTTGTGCTCACAGGTGCGCATTTGTCCTTGAGCTCATCTACATCCACGCTCAACACCAGACCCCAGGCAACGGCAGTCTGCACACACCGTTCCACCAGCTGCGACAATTGCGCCAGGTCTAAACCCTTGAAAATGTCTAAAGACACGGAGGCAAGCTTGCATTACTTTTCATAAAACTGCTTGACACTGTTCTGTATTTCTAGACCTGCTCTGCCACGAATAGGCTGCAAAACCTTGGGAAAGAGGTTTAGCGACTGAAAAATGAAGAGTTTGGGGTTTTTTGTAAGATTTATTTATTTATTTATTTGAGAGAGAGTAAGAGAGAGAGAAAGAGTGCACAAGTGGGAGGGGCAGAGGGGGAGAGAGAGAGAATCGCAAGCAGACTCTGAGCTGAGCATGGAGCCCGGTGCAGGGCTCTATCCCAGGACCCTACAATCAGGATCTGAGCTGAAACCGAAAGACGGACACTTAGCCAACTGTGCCACCCAGGTGCCCAGAATGAAGAGTTTGGTTTTGATCCTCGATGGCCGTGAACAGCTTTCGTTGCCACTCCTCTCTTCCTTTCATTATCCAATTTCTAACACAGCAATTCCAATTCTAAGTATCTCTTCTGGAAAAATATTTGCCTGTGGCTACAAAGAGGCATGTTCATTGCAACTCTGATGATGGAAAGTAAATGAAGGCAGGAGGGAAGGAGGCAGAGAGAGAGAGAAAGGAAGAACAAGGAGGAGGAGGAAAGAAGACGATAAAGGTAGAAGAAAATTTTACTCCTCTGGAGCAACTAAAAGGATTTCCTTACAGTATTCTCATAAATTAACTAAGAATTAGTATAAGCTATCAGTATTTAATCCAATTCATAATAAATATTTCTGGTGGAAATAATACAAAATTAAATTGAGGGTGGCTAAAGTTGCACATGGCAAATGTCAGATCTGCTAACTTTGACTTGGGAAGACAGGACTTAGGAGAAATACAAACAAGAACTCAAAATGGCAAAAAATCTGATCAATTAAATAGAAAATAGAAAAATTTCGGGGCTCCTGGGTGGCTCAGTCGGTTAAGCGTCTGTCTTTGGCTCAGGTCATGATCCCAGGGTCCTGGGATCGAGCCCCGCATTGGGCTCCCTGCTCCGCGGGGAGTCTGCTTCTCCCTCTCCCGCTCCCCCTGCTTGTGTTCCTTCTCTCGCTGTCTCTCTCTCTGTCAAATAAATAAATAAAAATATTTTTAAAAAAGGCTCCAGGTTAATATACAAGGTTAACAATAGGAGACACTGGATGTGGGGGTATATGTGAACATAGTACACTGTCTTTAGTTTAGAATGTCCTTGACAGTTTTGAGGAGTATTAGTCAGGGATTTTATGGGATGTCCCTCAGTTTTTTTCAATATTTGATGGGGGTTATAGATTTGGGGGAGGGCAGTAACTATTAGAATTTTTAATTGCGAAATTCTATGTATCTAGAAAAATACTACTTGCACATATGGAAAAAGGCATGGACAAGGGTTTACTGGAGCATTATGTGAAAAAAAGGAAAAACATCTATTGATAGGGAAACAATTAGATAAACTCTGGAATAGCCATAGTGTTGAACACCATATTTCATTGACTTCAGGAAGTCATCAATTACAGACATCATTATTTTATGTATCACTAAGAAAAATGTTCCTAATTAAACTATGACACCAAGCTTTCTTATCACTTATAATTTTTATTTCATACTTATTCGAAAAGCCAACTGAGACTTTAGACATGGGTTTTTTTTAATTCCATATCATCCTTGTGCATACATTAAAAGGGAGGTATTGGGGCGCCTGGGTGGCTCAGTCGTTAAGCGTCTGCCTTCGGCTCAGGTCATGATCCCAGGGTCCTGGGATCGAGCCCCGCATCGGGCTCC